ACAACAGGCTAAAGGAGCAGTTAGTTTAGCCTGATAAAATGAAGACTGAGAGGATCAAATTACTTCCTATAAATATATCAGGGTGTATGCAAAAGGGAAAGAAAAGTACAGAAAGTACAGTTTATGCCAAATGATCATTTTGGCCCAAGAACAAATGAGTATAAACAGACTATGAATAAATTTAGAAAGGAAATTACGTGGAGGTTTCTAACCATCAGAACAGTGAGAATCTGAAACAGCTTTCCAGGAAAGAGTACAGAGGCAAGAAATCTAGCTGGTTTTAAAATGGAGTTTATTCAGTGTATAAATAGGATCAGATTATATAGTTTCTTGCAATAGCTTCAGTGACACAGTGATAGCTTTCATGAAATAAAGTTGCACAGACAATTGCCTGGTATTTCCCCAATTTTGAGTATTTGATTTTGCAATCTTAATAATATTTTTCTACTGTACCTTTTTGTGTGATACCACATAAAAATCTACTGAAATTTCTGCAGCTGTCAAGTATTTTTAATCCTAAAAATGAGATGTCTCACACACAGGCCTAATTGTCTATTAGCAGCAAGCTAGCAAAACAAAGAAGAAAGCCTTTGAGAGAGAATTTAATGACCAGTGACATTGTCTATACTTAAGAAGCAAAATGGTACGTTGCCATGAGTGATTGTTAAGTACTGGCACACAATACTTCTTGGCTCAAACCAAGACTGGTTGGAACATGGCAAATGGAGTGTTATTAGACTGCGACTCTGTCAGCAATAAGAAGCTTTCTTTGGAGAGTAGAACTCAGCCTTCATATCTGGATATATTTCTTTGCTTCTGATGGAAAAGTACTGAACTTTTAATCTAGATTCATGCACAGAAGAATTGCTGAAATTGGATAACTTCTTAAGCAATGTGTAGGGTAAGAAACGTAGGCCATGTAGGTAAGTAGGACCCTGTTGAAGCTAATAACACATTTTGAATTCGTCAAGCCCAAGCTTTTGGGAATCTAGTAGAACAATGAGCAGGCAGGAGTCCATGCATCTAAACAAGCAGCATATCATGGAAGGTCCTTATTCAACTCCATCCCTATTCCACGGTCATTGTTTTACAATTTTTACTTTGAGTTTATTCAAACAGAGCCCCAGGGCAAAAACATGCTTCAAAACCTCCTCAATGTACATTTGGTCTGAGCATCATCTTAAGATGGCTTGTCCCAAGCTTTCCTTTACAGGACATACTATTGCTCTCCCTCCATTTGTCAGTCTCAAAGACAAATATCTGCTGACTGGCAGCAGTAAGTCTCATCTTGCCCTGCTGTTTACATAGGTCAGCAGCATAGCTTTGACCAAAGTAAAAAGCACAAATGCTTCGTGTGTCCTGAGGCTGGGGGGGCACAGTGACTGCTCACAGGCAGCAGTGGTGGCGGCAGAGCAGTGGTGAGCGGGGACCACCTGCAGGCGGCTGTAGTGGTGTTGGCAGTGGGGGGAGGAGCAGGTGGTGAGCACCGAGCGGTGATTGGTGACTGCTGGCACCAATCTCCTGGGCGGGGGGCGAGCGGCAACTGCCCACAGATACCGCCAGCGGTGTCAGCAGGGACCCATCTCAGAGGGTGCACATGCACCCGCGTGCACCCCCTATGCATCGCCAATGGTAAAAAGAAAGTGCTCCAAGAATTACTCTTCCTCATACACAGCCACCAACCAGAGCTCCATCACAGTGTTCTGTAAAATAATTTGTTGGAAACAATTGTCTATTTGGGAACTCCATTGTACTTTACTGTAAATTAGGACTGTGCAAAGCTTCGGTCCCCGATTCAATTCGGCAGAGATTTGGCCCAATTCAGAGGCTGAATCTCCAAATCCAAATCATATCAGGAGACCCTTTAATTTCTCTGAATCAAATCAGAACTCTCCTAATCGATTCAGAGAGATTTGGAAAGATTCGGCGATTCGGGCATAGACACAGCTTTAAATGTTTTTTTCTACATACCTCAAGGTACCAGGAGGCTCATTCATGTTGTTATGCTGGGCAGATGGAACATCCCACAGAAGCGCGGGTGCTCCCCAGTGCACTCAGCAGCAGACCCAGAAGTGGACCAGAAGCACTTCCGGTCCACTTCTGGGTTCACTGCCGAGCGTGTGGGAGGTCCCCCATGCTCCTGTGGGATGCTCTATCTGCCCCAGCATCGCAGCATTCACGAGCCATGCCTGGTACCTTGAGGTATGTAGAAAAAACATTTAAAGCTGTATCTATAGCCAAGACACTGATTCTCTGAATTGGCATCGAATCTTCAGATTCGGATTTGGCCAAATTAAATCAGGGACAGTGATCCAAATCAACGAATCAAATCACTGTCCCCAATTCGGGCCAAATCCAAATCCAAATTGAATATGGCCCGTTTCACATACCCGTACAGTAAATGATGTTTCAGTATATCTGAGTTCATTTTGTATGGATGCAGAAATCTACCCTTAAAATCCAAATCCTTAAAATGAAGATTCAGAATCAAGTCACATGAATCATCACAAGCTCATACCATATATTTAGCATGCAAAAATGAAACACCAAATCACCCCGCCCAAGTGCATCTACAATTCTGGTCATAACTGGTGTCTTCTCCTCACCTCTGAAATAGGATTTCTCCATCCTAGAACCTTTGGAGCCATCACCTGTGCTACTTCTCAAATAGGCATTGGGGTACTACTGATTCAATGCCCTCTGAATTCAATGGGAATCTTACAATGAGTGCTGGGTGAGGCCCTTTTTGTCTCATCTATAGCTTATTCAATGCAGCAAAAATGCTTCTGATTGATTTTGGATCTGGTCCATGCAAGACAGATGCTCAAATACAAGACTAATAAACATTATAAAGAAACCTCAGGACAGAGGCTCCTTTCCTTCCCTTCAGGAAAAAAGTTTATTCCCAGAAAAAATGGCACTGATAGAGTCATTTTCTTCCTTGTACCCCAGGTTCTTGCTCTATAAAATCAAGATGATTATACCAATTTACTGCCTAAGCAGGCATATTGGGTGGCTTAATTCACTGATGCCTCTTTGAGATCCTCAAATGGAGGGTCCCATATCTCAGAAATTTTCAAAGAATTTCTCAAAAACATATACTTATATTTCTTTATAAAAGAAATATCTAATGCCCTTTTTCTAAAGATATTGAAGTAAATCATTATTCTCACCTGGACTATCATATTAAAAGCCAAAATAATTCATTTGAATAATTCATGGGAAATGATTAAAAAAAAAAATCAGTTAGATACGTTAAACTAATAATGAAATGTTTAATGGTGGTATTGTCCCTGCCTCTGGGGAGCTGTGTTTGGCCCCTATCATAGAATCATAGACAAGTAGGTCTGAAAGGGACCTCCAATGGTCTAGTACAACCCCTTGCATAAGGCAGGATAATCCCTAGCTAAACCATCCTATACAAATCCATATTCTAATTTTTTGCAAAAGTACCATTAACCCTGACACAACACAAGACCTAACACCTTAACCTGCCACAAATAAAGCAGGGAAACCATGACAGCCAACATCCCGCTTCTATAACAGATTGCTAATTTATGCTCAATAGATCCCTGGTAGAGGGCCATGCCCCCTACTACAAAGGAAGGTGAAAAACCACCACACTCCATACCAATCTGATCAGGGGTTTAAATTCCTTCCTTACCCCAAATATGGCGATCGGTCTGAAACCTGAGTGGAGTGGTAAGACCTTCTAGCCAGAAACCACTGGCTTTAAGTCCCAGCAAAAGCATTGGCACACTACGGTCAAAATCCCCCAGCTTGGCTGTGGCCAACACTCTATGCCTCTGAGGAAGGTTTAAAAACACTGAGATACATGTATGATCTACCTCACAGAGCTATCTCATAGAAAAACAGACCTCGGGGGTGCCAAAGAGCAACAGCAAAAGGAAATGAACATAGGATATTTTGTGTTCTGCCAAGAAATCTATCCAAATTATTTTCCTATCTCCTCCATTAACACGGCCAGAAGACACATCTACCAGCTCTCTTTGCCCAGTAAGATAGGCTGCCCCAAATGAAGGCTTTTGGCAGGAAAAGGTAGAATCTTTGTAAATATTTATATATGAATTTGACAGGACCTCTTCAGGAAGGAGGTTTGATATCTTCAGGATTTTAATACAGATAAAAACAAAGTAATATAATAGTAAGATCATTCAGGTCTTTTGTCAAACTTATCAAGGGTTTTAACAAAATTATCACAGTACTTATGATATGGAATATGGGCATCCCTTCAGAAATCACATGAAGTGTTTACTAACTAGCTGTCTCATAGTTATTTCAAAAGTACAAATTTCAACTTCCTAGGAAGCCTGAGGAATCGTGTAACATGCTAAAGCATGTATCCCACAATGACTAAAGCAAGTCAAGGCAGAAGTTTAACAAAAAGACCAATCAATCTCCCTCCAGAAGTTCAAATAGCACAGCAATCAATACAAAAAGCACAGCAGCATACGGGATGTGTAGAGGGCAATTTTCACGGACAAGCATCTAGTCTTTGATTTATATTAGTATCCTCTTAGAATATCTATTTGTATTTCTGTAAAGCAGTTTCTTAGAATATAATTTTCAGTACATCTAGTACCTTTCACAGAATTTTGATCACACAGAAGAGTAGTCTTCTCCTCAGACAAAAGAATAGTGTAAGTCTTTCTACACCACCCCACAGCCTTGTTCTATATGGACTATTTCTATGGTCTTCATTTTAAGCCTCAGTAACTCTGCTGAGATTACCATTTGCAATTGTAATTCTTGTTACATTGACACCAGTCTACTAGGAACTAGGCAAAGCTAATAGCACAAAGACCATAAAAGAGTCTTTCCAGAATTATCAAAATTGCCATGTATTTAAGTAAGTATGAAGCTGGTAACTAGGGACCAGATCCACAAAGGTAATTAAATGCCTAAAATCTCATCAGTTACTATCAATTTAAAATCAACTGGAGTTTACATGCTCAGATAGGATGTCAACACTGAAATACCTTTCTTGTTATCTCTCTCCCATCATGCATTCACACTCCTATCTTCAGAATCTTATTTGGTAAATTGAGTGATAGAAACAATGAGTTGTAGAACTTACTAACCCACATTTAAAATGTCTACTAAAAAAATCCTCTTAAAGCTTGGGCTCCTGTCTGAAAAAAAACGCTGAATGAAGCAATAAGGGCATTTAAGTGAAAATTCAGCCCTTTCCCCCCCAAGGCAAAACTATTGTCTGACACAAAACAGAGAGGCATCTAATGCCAGCATATTTATATAGCTAATAGGATATGAATCAGATGTTTCCTCAGCCTACAGGATGTAAAGAGCAGTTTGTTTTTTCTAATGCTGTTTTTGTGTAGGTTGGTTTGGGGTTTTTTGCATTGTGAATACTTTCCTATTTGCCAGTACTAACCTTTCCTTCATTTTCTAGAGGTTAACAAATGCTTGATTAAATGTAGAATATTTTCTAATGGGTTAGGTTTAAATTAGACCTTTCTTTAACAAATATCTTTAACTCCCCTTTCTCTTATTTCCAATCATGTAGTCAGCAGATTGAGATATAGTTTTATATACATATCAATATAATTAATTCTATTCTGATGATTTTTTTACAGTTTCCAGTTTTATTTTCAAGTATATAAGAAGAATGTAGAAGTATAAAAATCTATCACCAGCTTCACACCCTCTAACCTTATGAAAAATATAGGCATCAAACACTAGTTTTGTGATACCTAGAATCCAGGAAATAAATACTTTTCCTAAAACTGCTCATTAGAACTGTTAGGCCAGATACACAGCTGGTACAAAATGATGAAGCTTGACTGACCCAAAATATGTACACCTTTATAATTAGCACAACAAATCTGTAGCCACCTGAGGCTTAAAAATACTTATTAGGCTGCTCACAGCAGCTGCAGGGAACTTTGTTACAACAGCAGGTATAGAAAATCAAATCCTCCTGCACAAAAGCACAGGCTCCTTGGAATCTCTGTTGGAGTTTGTAATTGAATTCAAGGGTGCTGATCCCATCCTGTGGAAGGCAGGACTAATCAGTTCATTACAATGTGATGCTAAATTGTGAGCCCAGGCTTACTGTCACTGCAATCAGGACTGGATCCTATACATTCAAGTCTCATACTTCCACATAAATAAATAATACGCAATTAACTGTTATAATTTATATTTACTATTTAAACAGTCATTGGGAATAGATTTGAAATAAAACTGAAGTTTTAAATTATTTCTAGGGGACCATGAGCATTAGAGTAATAGGTGGAACGTGTTTATTCCTACTAGAAAGGAGAGGCGGAGAAGCTAGGTCTTCTGGCGGCAGGTTTTATCAGCACAGCCCTCTAAGGAATCAATAGCCCAAGGTGAAAAGGTGACAAATCTTTAAGTTAGAAACGGTCTCAATTTAGAAAACATATAGTGGACTTCTCATGTATTTTATATACAGCAACAGTCTCACAAGGCTGAGCTAGCAAGAGAGCAGAATGTAGGTACTGTTCTGTTACAACTCAAGATAATCCAAGAAATGTAAGAGCCATTGGAAGATAATGTTCCAACAAACTTCAGCTGTGATTGAGCCATAATCAGAAATGATCAGACATGATCTACAGCTGTATCTTTATCTACCTTGCAGCTACATACATCATAAAAAATTCCTCTAAGAATACTATTTAAAAACCCTCTAAAACCTTTCACACAGCTCCCAGTATTTTATTTTATTTTCAATGAACTTTCCACTGGCATCTTCCACATAGAGATGGAGGCTATATCCACAACTATCATCTACTGCTCACTATGCAACACTTCTGTGCTTTGCAAGTTAACACAACCTTGATTTAGGTATTTATGTTGCATATGCAATGCACAGGGAGTTTTCCACAAGCCAGCACCCTGAATAGGGTGCCACCCAAGCAGCTAGTAGGTAACACTGGGGAGGGGTCCTCTACCTTGCTCCTCTCAGGAACTTAGGTGGTTGCCATATCTCAAAATTCAGAAACCTAAGCCATCTTTAATCTCCCCAGACATTCCATTACTGACATCAGAACAGCTGCTCTTAAACAACAAAAATTTAAAAATCAACATGAATGTGAACCTGCCAAACAAAAAATCCTGCACAGAATGAATTGTGTTAAGTATGGTCCTCAGCAGAGACTCTAGATTCTTATCCTATCACCTGGACTAGCTTTTTATAACCCCTATGTTAATGAGTTAACTGCTTTATGTATCCCTTTTTATCTCTTCAATCCATCATCATTAACAATCCTTCAATTTGAGGATAATCTCTAACACAGCTCATTGATGAGTCTTGAGGTGACTTAAGAGTCCAATCCCTGTGCCACAGATCAGTCTGCAGAAGTTGCAGGTCCTTCTGCAGGGAAGACTAAGCTGTAGGCTGGGATTTCTCTCCTTTTCCTTCCTCTACTCTCTCCTCTCAGCTTCAAGGGCAAGATACTTTACCTTGTTGCAGGCTGCTGCTTGGTTGAGGTTGTGATGCCACTGGAGACAGTTAGCAGTCAGGTCCTCCCAGCTCTTGATATCAGTGTCCATTTTCAATTTGTCCTTGTAGCGCTTCCTCTGGCCACCATGAGATCTTTAGGCTGCTGCTAACCTGAGAGAGCACTTGTTTGGGGATTTGAGTCAGGCATCCACACACAATGTCTGATCCAGCAAAGTTTGTGCTTGAGGATCACTGACTCAATGTGGGTACACTGACTTCAGCAAGAATAATGCATTTGTGTGGCAATCTTTGCATTTGATGTGAATGATTCTCTGGAGACATCATTGGTGATACCTCTCCAGGCTCTTGGGATGATGATGGTAGGTCACCTATGTTTCACATCCATAGACAGTAAGGAAGATGACTGCATGGCAGACCTGGATCTTGGTATCTTTCTGAAGATAGCAAACAATAAAAAAACACTGAAGCAGGCACTTGTGCACTAAATCCTGTGCTGGATCTCCTCATCAATGTTCACTCTCTGAGAGAGGTGGCTACCAAAATAAGGGAAGTGTTCAACTACATTCATGGTCTTTTCCTACTGGTAATTTGGCAGGGAAGGGGGGGAGTCAAATTCATGACCTTAGGCAGGATGGTAGAGGACTTTAGTCTTCTCGATTTTGAGAGAGACGCCCAAAGCTCAGTAGGCTTCTGCAAAGATCCAGAGTGGTCTCGGGGAAGAAACCTCTTCAACCCACCTTCACATCTCCCAGCAGTGCCGCCTCCTTCTTTCCCCTTTCTCTATCCTTTGTGTTTAAATGACATTTTATCTTTCTATTTAGTTCCCCTGTTCTCTGGAAGTTGATTCATAGCACCCAATAGAGTAGGCTATAGTTACAAAAGCTCAAGCCTCTCTGACAGAGTTAGTCTAAGGTGCCACTCTGCCCTACCTTCTGATATCTTTTTGTGTTAGCCATCTAAGATAGGCTTTTCCAGGCAAAAGATAGCCAGAGGAAGCAACACTAGAAAAAAGGTTTCCCAAACCACTGAATCCAGTCCTTTATGTCTGCAATCCACCATTTGTCCAAAAGGATCTACAAGAATATCTATTCCAATTTCTGTCACATATCCCATAAAATACTTCATTATTCTTAGATACTGAGACAGACAGCAAGTCTCTTTAGCCTGATGCTTCAAGTACTTACTTGGGAATTAGGAGGGCTGCATGGATGATTCCTCCTTCCTTTCTCTTTGATAGCCAAATGGTTAGAGCAGTCATGTGCAAGACAAAAGATGCTGGTTTAAAACCCTTCAAGTAAA